TTTTTATAAAAAGAAAAAATAATTTGCAAAGCTGCTTCGATATTAAATATGACAGAATATTTTTTTGTCATTAACATTAATCTTGATATATTTTTTTGGAATTAATGATTTTATTTTTTATTTATATTTAGTTCAATCAACAAAATTGCTTATGTCAATTCATCACTTTTTTCATATAAAAAAAAAATTATTCTTAAATTATAAATAAATATCAGAATCAGAATAAAAGTTTGGAAAAATATATATATATATATGCAAGTTAAGAGAAATCATAGTCATGATAATTTGATTTTAATTTTTATTAAAATCTTGTAATTCTTTGCGACTATAAGTTTTTAAATGACGTTACTCACTGGATAATCCAATAAATCTTTCTACGAAAATTCACTATCACGTTTCGAACGACAATCGAACACCTCAATTTCTCTCTCAACAATTTATTTCCACCGATCGACTCGATACTCCCACATATGTCTTCGTTCTGCCACTTCCGTCGCCGCATCCGTCGAAGACCAGTGCCGCTGTCACTCACCTGCCGGGCCCGGGTACAGCTAGAAAATTTAATTAAAGCTGCGCGTGGCCATAAATTATCGTACTATCGACAGGGATATCGGTTTCGTGGTAGTGGCCGTAACTCCTGGAACAAGAAAAAGAAAACGAGAAAGAATAAAGTGAGGAAAAGAAACGAAATGGAAACGTGTCTTTCGTGTATTTGCTTCTGTCATGTGTATACGCTTGAGTACAGTTGAACATGTTTCGTGTATATGCGTACGCTTGCATTTCTTTCACATATTTGTCATTCTTATGTATGGTTTCGCGTGTATTGAGCATGTTTAGCCTGTTTGTGTGCATTAGTGTATAGTATGGTGTGTTCAATACGTGTCCGAATCTATACGCGTGTTTATGCATATATTGAATATTATACATATGTATGTTGCGTATGCGTATACGCGTGAAGCGAATGGGTCGGAGAAAAGTAGAGGACTCGTGAGGTATAGTAATACATTCGGCGTGTTGCGGCCGCTGTTAGCACCGTTAAACTAGCTTTTACTGTTCCGGCTGGTCCTTTGAACCACGCCGCCTGTACGGCAGCCACAGGCAATAAAATGCGTTCACCATAAAGTGCCGCGTCTCTCTAGCCTCGTCACAGCTTCGACCATGCTCACGCAATCTACCAAGCCCATTGCACATCCGGTTGCACCCTTTTTCCCTGATCCATGGGCTTTTCGTGAAAATTCCGGAATGATTTTACAAATCTTTTAGCAGTATCTTTCGGGAAAAGTAAGGAATCGTCGAATTCCGTTATTCCGAATATTCGTCGAATATTCAATTTCTCATTTGATATGTATAGATCTATTGAATTCATGGAATTAGATTTAATAATAATATATTAAGAAATTTAATTAATTCTAAACTTATATCTATTTCTGGAATTACTGTCAATTGTCAACTATGCAAATTAAGAAAAATAAAAATGAAAAATAAAATGTGTATTTAAGGATTGAATTTTAATACTATTCGACGCATGCGCCTTTCATCTCTTTGTGCACATGCGCATTACAAGTTTCATGATTTGTGCAATAGGTTATTCATATAAAATTTTTTATATGAATTTTCTTTTCTTTTTTTAAAAGAAATATTTCTAGATATTAATCATTCTAATTGTTCTAATTAATCAATGTTTTCTTAATAAATAGAAAAGTCTAGTGAACATTTAATGAATAAATTTTATTTTATTGTCAATAGATATTAATTAAGATAGGTTAAGTTAAGATAGGTTAAGATTTCTCTGTTTATATATTCATTTCATGCTAAAAAGTTTCTATTATTTTAATTTTTTTCTTAAAAAACTTTTCAGATCAATCATATAGAAAGAATGTATATATTGAAAACATGAATATTTAAATTAATATTAAAATATTTCTCATAAGAATGATATTGTTATTTTCATTTAATTTATGTGTTAAATAATCTCTTTCGTTCCACTCGTGAACAATCGACGACTTCATTACAAGTGGTGAAGGACCTTGCTAGTGAGCAGACCTAAGTTAACACATTCACTGGCATGACGGTCACGGATAACCGACATAGAACTTGACGTTTACACTTCATTAGTCATTGATGGCCATTATGCAGTATATGTATCAATAATGTACGTACAATATATAATTGCACTTAAATGCATTCTCGAAATTGTGATTAATAATAATAAAATCTTTAGAATACATGTATAGTGAAATAAAGTGAAAACTTTGAATAATTTTAAATTTGCAATAGATAATAATAATAACGTATAAATTATAAATAATTTATAATGATGCATAAATTATTTTTCTTTTTTCTAACTAATTTTTTTAATCTTTTTGAATATTCAGAATAAAATTAAATATAGTTTCATTCTTTTTTGTACTTTTTCCAACGATAATTTGTTCTGATAAATCATCTAAGTGCCCTAAACCAACAGATATGGAATCAGAAAAATCCCTACTCGGAAAGATAACCAAAGTACCAAACATATGGAGGGTAAATATCAAGGTAATTGGAAGAAAGTATAAAGAATTTTCTGGTAAATTGAGCCAGCCACAGAACTAGATGGAATTTTCTCCCTTTCATATTGCGGCGCAATGAAAGTTTTCCAATAAGAAACGAAAGAGCTAATCAGAGTTTCCCAAGGCTCAATGGTCCATGCACTAACATATCTACTAGCTTCCCTACGCATTCAGTCCTTCGATTACCGACTTCGCCTTTTCTTCTTTCCAAAAAGTTGAAAAGCATATTGAAAATATTCTAATCTTGCTTGGTTATTTATATATATATTCGATTTTATGTTCATGTATTTTATTTTCAGTTTCGCTGGAATATGTATGAAATAGAAAAAATAACTATGGAATAATGATAATCTTCTAATCTTAATTTCTTTTTACTTAAGAAATTTTTAGTTGATAATAATGTAAGAAAAGATTTTATACAATTTAATTTCATAACAAAATGGAATTGTAGATTATTTATTGTTTATTAATTGGAAACATTGAACAGAAAAAAATATCTAGATTAGTTTAATTTAATAATTTTATATATAGGATGTTAATATAATAATATTAATATATTCATAGAAGTTTAGTGAATTCTAAAGTTTAGTTGATCAAAACAAATACTAATGGCGCATAAAAATATTGATCAAAGCTTATTAAGTTATAAATAATTTAAGTTTGCATTAGATGAAACGAGATGGAGATAGAATGAGACAAATATAAATGTCATTTTATTTGACACATTTAAATTGCTTGTAATAGATAAGTTTCAATATTTTTATACATCATTTTTTATTATTTATTTAGATCTTTAAAATCAATTCTCAAAAGATACATATTAACATTTTATATATATATTTATTTTATCAAGGAAAACAGATATTTAATTTCATTTAATTAAAAAGTATATCATATTAAATATCCAAATAATCCTACATGTAATATTGTCATGCTAGTACCAGATAATATTGGTAGCACGGTAAGAAGATACAGAAAACAATATCAAATCAATATAATATAAATGAAAAATAATACTAGAGTTAATATTATCATAATGAAACAAACGCAGTATTGTATAGTATTATTTCACTATATTTCTTAAATTCATTTCTATTCAATGTCCAAAAAAAAAAAAAAGAAAAATCAAACAAAAAAAAAAAATCCATCAGTAAAAACTTGTCCAAAAAAAAAAAAGAAAAATCACACAAAAAAAAAAAATCCATCAGTAAAAACTTGTCCAAAAAAAAAAAAGAAAAATCACACAAAAAAAAAAAATCCATCAGTAAAAACTTGTCCAAAAAAAAAAAAGAAAAATCACACAAAAAAAAAAAATCCATCAGTAAAAACTTGTCCAAAAAAAAAAAAGAAAAATCACACAAAAAAAAAAAATCCATCAGTAAAAACTTGTCCAAAAAAAAAAAAAAGAAAAATCAAACAAAAAAAAAAAATCACTAATTCAAACATTGTCCAAAAATAAATCATCATCTCAGCCATAAATCGTTTTCTATCAGACCACACACGTGGTCGGTGGTTAATGGACAGAATTATTACTCTCTCATGCAATGCAAATCGAAACGTTTCCCCCCAGAGGGGTGACTGAGGAGAGGGGGATGGATCGCATACGGTGAGGATAATTTACAGAAATATCGTACGTGTAAAATGATCCGCGGCAAGTGAAGCTCTCCGCGTCGAGATACATCTGTTTGTATATTATGCCAAAGGTAAACATCGTTGTTGATGCAGTGCGCTATTATGCACGGTGGTGCAACATGATGCACCACCGTATGCCGCGTGCACAAACACGAATTAACTCGCCGCGATTATTGGGGCTTCGATAACCATCCTATATATCGCTTGACGCTGTATATCAAGCCGGGCCATTCAATAGTGAAAAATGATATTCGATCAGAAATTATTTGCAATGTTATCGGAGGGCCCCTTTTTTGAAAGGGAATTTAATATTTTGTTTGGAATATTAAGAGCATCTTATTGGATATTTGAATTTTTGATTCGATGTTGCTGTTTAGAATTTTTATTATTTGCAAATTAATATAATAATTGAATATAAATCTATTAAATTAATTTTTTTATTTCATAAATTATATTAAATCATTCCATAAATAATATTATTTAAGTTAATTTTAGATTGCAAAGAATAATTTATTATAAAATTTTAATGCAAAATAAAATTAATTATATTAAAAAAATACTATAAACTAATGCAACTTTGATGAACAAACGATTGGTATACTGTAAAAACATTTTTTTTTTTATTATATATAACAAAAATAATGATAGAAGAGATAAATAATATAATGGAAAAAAAATTTGTTTTACTTTTTTAATATATTGTCACATCACGTATTACTTCCGCTGATATTTTTTTATTACAGAACTTCATAGATACCGACGAATCAGTTTTGTTAGGGATATGTCTTTCTCGAGTTAAAAAAAAATTCCTCGTTCGAATATCGTAAATATTCTGCTGTGTAAGTTTCTTTCGATTTATATTTCACGAAGGATCAAAGAGAGACGTGGCACGTTAAGCTGAGAATAATCACGAAAAGACATTCTACAGCCGCGCTCGATAAATTTTCGACGGGTTTTCCGGTCTGGGGATCGAAGAGCAAAATAGATATTAACTATTTGAAACAAAATAGTTTAACAATTAACATCTTTATTATAATTTTATAATTTATTTCTTTCTCTTCTGATATTATTTCTTTTTCTAATTTTATTTTAAATTCAAGAATAACTGTTTTTTTCTTTTTTTTTTTTTCATTTTTCTAATTTCATTCATTTTCTATCTTCTTAACATGATTTACAATTACAAGAATTCTTCTCTTGAAAAAGAGAACACAAATTATAACCTAAAAATATCATATAAAAGATAAGCATACAAATGTTCTTTTGATTCGTTATATTTTTGTTACTCACACATCAATATAAACAATATAGAAGTTTCTTCTATTCATTGCAATTCGTTATCCACAAATCGACAACTGAACGAGTGAGAGGAATGTTCCAACAAACCGTGTCCAGGAAACGAAAAGTTGAAAAGTCGGTAACAGACCGGACCATGGTGTTTATTCTCCATCCCGTGAGAACGCTGTATGTAAGCCAGCCTCTTGGTGTGTATTTGCTTGCGGAATACGTGCGCTCTCGTGCGGCCAAGAAGACAATTACCTCCGCGGGGCAAACGAGCCCGGTTGTGTCGGCACGCTTTGTGCGGCGGCCACTTCTTTCCAGCCATTCTTCGAATTTACGAAACGTTTCTGCAAGCGGCGCGTGCACCGTCTTTTTTACCCGCCTGGAAAACCACAGGCATACTTTCTTCTCCATAGAAATTCGTTTTGGTCCATTAAGTTATATTTTCACGGAAACTGCAATGACTGGAAAAATGTGATTATGAAACAAAAATTTAATATCAAAACGGATATTACTTACGTCATTTTTATCGACGAGATATTCTTCTTTATATTCTTCTAAATATTAGATATTCTTTCTATGATTTTATTAATGTATATTAGATTTTATTAATTTCTTTAAAAATTGAATTATTTGAAAATAATTTAAACTAAGTATTGATAATCATGGTATTTGTTGTATTTTCTTTGAATAATGAATAATTTCTGATTTTAGATAATTAAATCACATTTCTATGAATTGAAGATTTATGATTTTTTTTTTTTTGTAGTTACAATTGCATTTCCAGATATGAGTCTAACAAAATGTAATATTTATTACAATTTATTTTATCATTATTGTAATTTATTTATTAAATTTAAATTCTATTTTTAATTATACTACAGAAATATGAAAATGAGGAAATGTCTCTTTCTAGGATAAATTCTATTTTTTATTTCTATCTAATCATTTTTATAAAAATTAATCTTCATACTTCAACAAATCATTAAACCATCAATTCAATCTATCTATTTTACTTTTCTTCCATTTAATTTACGTGTCGAAGAAGATCGCAATAAAATTAGACAAGTTAAGACAAGTTAACCTATATTCCTATGTCTCTCTCAATGCTTTGGAATCGGTACTCGCGCATGTGCCAACAAAATGTACACGCCAATAGAGAATGGCAAAATCATTTCACTCGACTCAAAGTTTCTCCTCTTGGTCTTTCTGCTATTTCTCCTCTCTTCCATCATCATAATCCTTCTTCTCTTCCTTCATCTTCCTCTTACTTTTGGTGTCAACGATTTTCCATGCACTGGCAGCGAGTGGGCGGTGGACGGTGCAATTAGCATACTCGCGTGATCAAAGCGGTGGGACACGTGCGACAAGAATTAACGACCACCAGCGGGACGACTCTTTCTTCGCGGAGTGTGCGCGCGATAAATCGCGCTTCCGATGCCTTCGTCGACACCATGCAGCCCACGCGTACCCCCCACTGCTCGTTTGTCCTCGAGCACGCGGCGGCGCTCTCTACCGACTGTTTTCTGATCCCTTTCGCGAATAGACCCATCTAGAACTCGCAGCGATATTTACCGCCAGAGCTTTCGGCAATCGTTTCGTACAAGTTTATATATAGGAACGCGCATTTTTTACTCCGTCAATTGTCGGACGAAACGGAATGTAATTGTTTGAACTAGTGATTGTTTCCGCTTAAACTATTTAAAAATTGACATATTCTAAGAAAATGATTTAGTTTGTTTTTTAGTGGAAGAAAAAGTGTAGAAGTGTGAAATGAGTTTGGTGTAATTGATCAAGGATAAGGTTAGAATCGAATGTTTGTAGAAAATCAGTTAAAATTAAATGATTTAAAATTCTTCATCTAAAATTCTTCGCTATTTTTTGATATTAATTTGATGTAAATATTATTCTATATTTTAATATAATAGTAACAATATATAATATTATAATAATATTAATTATTTATTTTTGATTACAATTAAATATACATATATGGATAATTTTAAATATAATCTGAAAAAATAATATATATATAAAAGTATGATTTTAAAATATAATAAAATATAATTCATTTTTAAATATAGTGAAATATAACTTAAATACAATCCTGCAAAATTAAATAAAAATAAAAAATATATATATATCTTAAATTATAGCAATATTTGAGACAATAATTTATTTACAATATTTATTTCATGTAAAGATTCTAAATAGTTATAAAAATTCAAAAGAAAAAATCATAGAAAATAATTTCTTTAAAAAAAATTTGACTATTGAATAATTGAGTAATCTTATTCGGCAGAAAGAAAAATATATATTAACGCATATTGATGAATGTATATGATTTTAATATCATCATTTATCTTGAATTTTCTGGTACAAAAATAACATTTTCTTGTATTTCGAACGCTCGTTCTTTAGCTCGCGACTTAATATAGTCCTTATAGTTTCTTTTGTAATCTATTTATGGTAAAGAATGCCATACAATATGTTCAGTTAAAACGTGATTTGCAAAGAAAAGACACGTAGTTATCCGTAATCAGTGATAATATGATGATTAGTCAAAGAATATTTGTATTCTAATAGCACATTTGTTTCTGTGCATGAGAATATGATTTGCTATATTTTCTTATTATAAAATTTTATTAATAAACATTAATAAAGAAAATTAAAACTTTAAACTTTAATAAATAATGAAATACATGTAAAAATTTTGATTTGCAGAGAAATGAAAATTAATAAATAAATAGTATATTAATATAAAATAAATAAATATTAATTAAATAATAGCATCTTAATATATTAATCATGTGAATCTCTCCATTGTATAGCTACATATTTTCCGTACGATTTCTTAATCTACATCCATATCGATTTTTCGTTAATTTCTAAATTGTAAATTATTTGTAATATTTGTATATTAATACTTATAATAATTTGTAAATTTCTAATTTTTTCATATCTTTTTTTTCAAGGAAAATTACATTTTTTTGCATATTTCATTTCCATTAATTCATTATTATATTTATTTTTATTATGATATTTATTTTATTTTGCAAAACTTAACAATAAAAAATCAATAATTTTCCAATTTTTTAATTGATTTCTCTTTTTTTCTTACTGTCAAATACGTAAATCTTCAAATGTTCCTCGTTTATCATCATATTCTCTTCTGATCATAAATTAACTGATCCAACTAAATCAGTTCAATTATGGATAGTTGAATCGAATTGGCAGATCGTTCGCGTCATGTGCTTCGTCTTATTTGCTTTAGGCGAAATATCTGAAATTCAATATGAGCGTGAAAGAGAGAAAGAGAGAGAGATGGAGAGGAGGATATGGTACAGAATAAAATGGAAAGAATACAATCTGAACAAAACAACGGTTGGTAGTTAGGGGTCGATAATACAGGGAAATGTAAATCGCAATATGCTAATGCAAACAACGAGAACGTTTGTCTAACCGAGCGTTAAGATCCCTGGTCCGGACTCCTTGTTTCACGCGTGAACGAGCTTTAACCCGCCGCAAAACCAACGCCTGAACCAACACGAACTGTTTTCGCGCAACACCGTGTACGGTCTCTATCATTATGAGGATTCTGATGAGGGAAAGGAACTGCGAATTTATATAAGTTGTTTTTTTAATTTTTTTTTTCAAGTAATAAAAATAAAAAGATAAATTAGACAATTGTGTATGATTTTTTTGAAATAATAATTTTTTTAAATTGCAATCCTCTTTTTTAATATTCAAATAATTTAATTTGATTGTAATAATTATCGCTGAAAAATGAATGAATAGCAACATCATTTTTAAATTAAATAACTGATGTTTTTCGATATTCCTGTTAGATATATCTATATCAGAATAAATAAATAATTTTTTAATGTAGAATATAAAATGAAAAAAATATTAAAAAATTGAAGAGTAAGATATTAAAAAAGATGGATGAAATATTTTTATATTCTCTTCATATTCATTGAATTCATGGATTTAAAAGATTATGATTTCTAATTGATTTCTTTCATGGTTCATTGGAGTTATTTAACTTGCGGAATTGTTTAATAGATTGGAGAAAGGGATGGAAGTAAAGGAAACGGTATTGGTATGTAAGTTATATCGACAGGTTTTTGTACTGTTGTCCCAGATAGGTAGTTTTAATTTAGATTGTACGATGCAGTATAGATGTAGGCAGGCTTTTAAGAAATGAAAAAATCCGGCCAGGGGTGAGACAGTAGGAACGAATGGTGAAGAAAATGAAGCGTGTAGTCGATGCTTTTGTTCTTTGGTCGTCTTTGAAATGAAATCATGGTTAAAAAGTTGCTGACAACGGATTTTTTTGTTTCATCAAGTATTTGTTGTTATTGCTCAGTTATATGTTATTTATTTTCATTTTAAAAAAGAATGATATTCTACTATATTATACAATAGATGAATGTTCCTTAAAACTTGAAATAATTATTCTATAAAGGAATTGAATCTGAAATACTATGCAAAAAGAAAAAAAATTAAAAAAATGCTATATTTTTATTAACTTAATATTCTAATAATTTTTTTATTGTGATAAATTTTACTGAAATTATTTTTTTGAAAAATATTTTACTTTATTTTCAAAATTATATTTAATAAAATTTCATCTTATTTTTATAATTATGTAAAAATATTTATGAAAAATATCACCATTTAATCAAACAAAAATGTAGTTTATAAGTAACTAAATATAGTGACATTGAAATGTATGAAAACGTAAACTAAAAAAATATTACAATATCATGGCAATATAATTTATAACTTTTTATTTTCACTAGACAATATATTTTAAAAATAATTTTAAAAATATCTGTAATCTCAAACTATATAATTAAAAAATATTTGTGATAGCAAACGCCGTGACTTTTAATACCACGTGGAAACGTACCTTAAGTGTCACGTGTGCATATGCGAACTCCCTCTATGTATGCATGATCTTCCGTCGATCCAAGGAATTTTGTTCTATGGTAAACGCTAGAGGAGACCGGTAGTACTCTACTTGATATCCCAGGGGCACGGGGCATGCACTTTTAGACGCACCATATCCATGTAGACGTTCCTCTTTCTCTGCTATGGCGCCGCATCGGAGAACGGTGTAAAAAGGTAGGAGAACAATGAGTATCCCATGGGAGCATATCCGTCGGTGCATCCCCTAATTAAGATTGGCCTTGTTTTAAGCAGCCCACTGAATGATTCGCCGATCCCTCGAGAAGAGCCGATACATCGCATCGGTTTGAGTTTCGAGTATATATATATATATATATCTGATCAACGGAGAAATATACAAAAGAGTTCGTGACATAATCTTTTCCATCTACCCTCCCCATTTTTCCATTCCTCTCTAACCTATCCGTTTTATTGCATAATTTTTCTGGAACGAAATTTCTGAAAACACAAATTGAAAGACGGATTAATTCCCTCCTTCCTTCAGCGTTATCTCTCTTGGCTTTTTTTATATTCTTTTTTTCTTTCTCTTTTCTTTTCTTTTTTCTTTTTTCTTCTTATTTTGTTATATAATCGCAGAAAATATTTTTAACTGTTCAATCGCGATAATAAACAAATAGTAAAAGTGCAGTATATTGTTTTTCACGGTTTTTGCCGTGAAAAAAATTAATGGTGGTATATAGATAGGGAAAACGGATAAATATATGTACTCTCAGGAATGAAGGAATACAATAAATGATGCTGGTGAGAAGTTATCGATTATCGTACCCAACTTATGATTCGCGTATGCTGCCTTGAGAGAGTAATAAAGACATATGTGTGAGTAGAAAGGGGCAAATAGGCAAATAGGCAAATAGAAAGGGGTTGTGCGTGAGCTACCGCATGAATGTAATGAGCCTAACAAATTGGTAATTGATGGGGCATAGTAAAGATAGAAAGAAATAATCGAATTTTTTAAAATGTGTGAATCTTTTGCTATATAATTCTCATATTATATTTTATATTTATTTACATATGTATATATAAAATAAAATATTTAACTTATTTAATAAAATAATATCTTTGTGATTTTTTCTTTAAAATTTCATACAAATTTTTTTATATAAATTTATAGAATTCAATATAGATTATTAATTACATTGAAAATAATTATTGTGATAAAAAAATCAACTTTTATTTTAGTAATATTGTATGTATGAGAAGATAGCAAAATTAGGACAATCATGAAGTGATTTAACCAATGATTTCAACAAAATTTAATCACGAAGAATTATTATTCGATTCTCAGTCAGCTAATTTCTTTATACAGAAAAAAAAATCAACTTGACCGGATCATGAATCTAACAAGATATAGACAGAGGAATTAACTTTAACGAGATTAAAGATTTTAAACGGAATGCGTCCAGTAATACCGCGAATAGGCCGAAAGAAATAGTAGTATCGTTCGATATAGCATACACACATGTACCTACATTTTGTCGTCCGATAATATGTAGGAATTGAAAAAAAAAAAAGAAATGAAAATCAATAAAAATTGAATTTATAATTCTTACAAAATTAAATCAAAAATCAAAATTATTATCTATAAATTCACAAGTTTTAATTCGCAATAATAAAATAAAAGAATATATCAATTTATATTCTTATATTTAAATATATTTTTTAAGCCACAAGAATGAACAAAATGAACAAGACAATTTATACGCAAAAATTTACCAATAAAAGAAACATTGTGATATTAATAGCATGAATTTTATATGTAAATATAATTTTTTATTAATAAATGCTATTATACTTATATTTTTTATTTAAGCAAGCACTTACGTTCTGTGCATTCAGCATCTATCATGTTGAATAAGATGGTTCACTTTGAAAAAAAATGCAGACCGAAATTGTCGTTAATTAAATAAAACTGGCAAATAGAAAGTGAGTTAAGATGAAGTATACATGGTCGTAAAACCAATGCTTGCCTGTTTATCTTCGTTTCTGAGTGAATTCATAAACGGAACTGTAGGAGCGAATCTTAGCCAGACAAACTGACGAATGGTCGTCTTTTCATCTGGTATCGTCGGTTTACAACCAAACTGACGACAGATGTCGTCTGATCATTGCCGATAGCGCTTACTATGCTCCTTGCGACGCCTCTTCAAAGTTTCTTATTCATGTCTTCCTCCTCTAAAGAGATCCGATTACAGTTTTTCCGAGTATGAAAACTAACATATAGTAGTCTGTGGAAGAATGAAGTTGTTGTTTCTTTGAAAATTCATAGGCAAAGATTGTTCTTTTTTAGGCAAAGATGTGATGAGTGAAAGAATGAATTGTACATATATTGAAAGGAAAGGTTGAGTTATCGAAATGTTTCGAGTGGTTTCTTGGTATAGAAATGATTTTCAGTGAAGCTAATTTTCTGAAATTTTAGAAATAGAATTTTGGATAAGCTTACTGGCAACAATTGAAAAAACTAGAATTTTAGTTTTTTAATAAATTTTTTTTTAAAAATCTAGTAAAGTTTCTTGCGAAAAATTTTGGATAAATAGCATTAAGGTTAAGTAGCATAAATATGCCCATTTTTTTAATATTTCAAAAAAAATTTTGAATAAATTGATGCTCATTTTTTAATAATTTTATTCTATCTTTTTTATTGATGAAATCACTGATCAGGATTAATTAGTCGGAATAAACGACACGAGTCGTGATTCCTTTACGTGCATAGCGAGTTCTATATACTTGTGTACACTCATTAAGAGGAAACTTTGGTGTTCCAGCTACAATCTAATGGCCACCCCTCAGCTGAAGTTGGCCCGGGGGCCATCCTCTTTTTCTGTGAAAGTCACTAGGGGGCCCCTCGATAGAATGAGATACGAACGAGGACTGTTGCACAAGTATAATGCTGGCAGAGAAAAGGGGGATGTTTGGTAATCGATACTAATTAGGACGAAGCAAAGTTTTGGTTGTGAGTGAGAATGTAGCAGAGAAGCAAGGGCTCTTTTACTTGTTCGAACGCATACATACATATGTATATAATAACTAATTAGCGTTGAATTAGTTATATATATATATTGCTATAATGATCATTTACAATGAAAAAATTATCAAAATAGCCATGATTAATATCTCCTAATCTTGAAGTTGAAGAAAGAATATGATATGCATTCCATCCTTATAATCAAAATAAAGAAAAACTGGAACAAAATTCTACTATTTGTTTCAAAATTATATTTGAGTTATTGATAGTCTAGTTTAAGTATCTGTGTATTTTAATGGGTTATGTATAAATCATTAAAAACAATAAAAATTATCACAAATAACTAATCCCAAGGGTCTGTTTGTAATGTTTCGTTTTAGAAAGAATTTTCGAAATAATGGGATCATAAAACTTATCTCACTTAAACACATGGATGTGAACGGCTTATCGTTTAACCTTCGTTTTTCTTTCCTTATACCTTTCCACATACCTTTCCACTCGGTTCCATGAAAATGTGATTTTATCATTT